AAAAGTCGTGTAGGGTGAGCGGTAGGAGGGTAACACCGGAAGCTCGTGGAAGCAGGTGATCGGTGTGGCGCAGTAACGAATTAATTAGGGTAGCTGCGCGACATAGTCGCGCTAAAACCAAGAACGTGATACAATTAAATTTAATCTCGTGCAATAATAAATTTCACAAATCATATAATTACTGACAAGAAAAAACTTCAAACTGGAAATTTAAATTTATTATTATTTGCTGGATTTAGCTCTAATCAGAGATATATATAAATTCAATACATATCATATATGTTTCGAATTTATTATAATAGAACCATTTACAATATATTATTATTTTGTATTATATCGTGGCTAAGACTAGTAAATAATAATAATAAAATTAAATTTAGGTTTGGGGTTTTTTCTTGGCAACTCATAATGTAATCCAAACTTTTCTATAATTCCTAAATATAGAGAGGAAGCCATTGAGATTTTTATATACTGTAGCTACAAAGAGAATCAGTTTCATAATGTGATGTGGATATTGCTTATTTTGTCTTTTCACTGATGTTTTAGGCACGGATCCCGCAACCCAATTAACAAAGATCTTGCACTAATATCTCCTTCTGTCACTACTGAGCATTATAAAAAAAAAAAACAGTTATAAAGGAATTTATTAAAGCCTTGTTCGAGTTAGGGTTACTTTTTTGATGTAGTTATGATTACTGTATCAAAAATAAATGTCGCGGATTAACATGAGGACTGCCCAAGTTAAGGCAACTATGTAATTTTTATTGAAACTTTTTGCATTTTAGAAACTAACATGAGGCAGACCTATGTATTAAACCCTATTAATACAATCCCCAAATTCACACTCTAACAATTCTAGCCCTAAAAAATCCTAACCCTTAAAAATCTAAGTTTAACTAGCTAATTTTTAAGTAAAAAAAGGCAAAACTAAAACTAATTTTTAAACAAGAAATTTTAAGCAAAAAAAAACTATTTTTTACCAAAAAAAAAAAGTCAAACTAATTTTAATCTCAAAAAAAAGCTAAAAATTAACTTTTAGTCAAAGAATATAAAAAGCATTTAAAATTTAGAATGATGGTACAAATAACAGAGACAATGCAGCTAATAGAGATGATTCAGCTAAAGAAGGTGATGTGACTGACAAAAGTGATATATCTAACAAAGGTGATGTGACTAACAAAGGTAATGTGGCTAACATAGGTGATACGGCTAACAAAGGCAATGTAGTTAACAAAGGCAGCACAGCTAAAAAAAAAATAATAAATAAAAATAAAAATTAACAGAATAAACAATAATACATACATGCAATAAAACAAGTTTAAAATTGTGAAATTATCTTTTTTATCATTTTTTTTGATGCAATGAATTTTTTCACAGGATAACACATAGTATTACTATTAGAAGTTTCAACAACAATGGTCTTGTTATTGTTTATAATACCAACAATAGTTCCAATATTCTTGAAGTTGGTTTGAAGTTTTCTTTTTTGAGTTGTTGGGTTCATATTAGTATTAGGAGCTATGGCAACTAGCTGATAAGGCTTATAAAGATTATTGTGATGGTGAACACTTGAATGTTTTTGCATTTGCTTTCTAGATTTGTCAAGTTGCTTGTTAACCTGATCATGAAGAGTTGAAACCTTCTTAAGATGATTTGTTATGTCTTGTGATATAATTAGTATTTCTTACATTTCTATTTCCTTAAAGTTGGAGACAATTGAATTGAATTGCTGATATATACCAAGGAGTTTATAACCAAATAGTACTTCACAGGAGATCTTTTCATTTACACTATGCTGAATAGTATTATAAGAAAAAACAAATTTTAGTAAATAATCTTTCCAGTTAACATTTTGTAGGTGCAGGTCTTCATTCCAAAACATTTTAGTAAATCCACATTCAACTGTTTGATTTAAATGTTCAACTTGGCCTTGTGACATAGAATATCTTAAACATCTATATCAAATAGTAATTTCAAGAGTTTTACAAATCTGTTTAATAATATTTGTAGTAAATTCCTTTTTATTATCAAATTGAAAAATTAATTGTGCACTCCATTGTGCAAATAAAGATATTAAAGTTTTATCTACTGCATCAGCTTCTTTTGTCTTAAGTGGAATAGTCTACAAAAATTTTGAAAAGATACAAACAATGGTAAATAGCTAGGAAAATCCATCATTTATTTCCTTGTATGCTATAAAATCTATAAGCTTCATTTGAAGACATTTAATTGAACCATAACTTATAACTGATGTTAGGTTATCCTTCTCTTTAATCAAAGTAGTTCAATTATAAGTATTGCAATTTTGAATATATTTACAGACTTCTTTTTTTGTAATACTGATATGTTGTTCCATAATTTTTTTGTGACAATCATTTGCATAAATATAGTGATTATTGTTATGAAATTGATTAAACAAAGCTTGATAAAACTCCAAATCTTATGTGAAAACAAAATAACCAAGTAATTGATCCTTAATTTGAATATAATGATAACTATTTTCTAGATGTCATAATTTCATTTTATACTTAAAGTTCCATTAGTTCTTGGGTTTTATTAAGGTAGATATAATTCTGCTACAAAGATAAGTGATAATATCTTGATACATTTCAGATATTTGAGAGAAATCAGCTTCATAAACTATTGTATAATTTTTTTTGATTTTTTTTTTCTATTATATTTATAATGATACATATGTATCATTATAAGTAATAAAAATATCACTAAAAAAATGTAATAATAATGAAAATATGGGCTTTTTGAGCCTATTGTATAGATCATGTAAACAAAGGTGCAAACATTTAATATCATTATATTGCATTATAAAATATGAAATAACAATTATATAAAAAGAAATATCAGTCTTTTTATAATATGAAGTAACAATTATGCAAAGAAAAATATCAGTCTTTTTATTAAAAAAAAATTAGAAATAAACTAAAATTATCTCTTCTGCAAAATAATTATAATAGATTATCTTTAGAAGAGCAGATCATTCTATACATCTATATTTATATAGTTCTATATCATTATTTGGATAATATACCAAGTTAACTCTCATTATTATGATATAAAAAGATTCATATTATTAGTAATATATACAATCAAGCAAAAAATTATATGTATTTAAAATATATACATACCCAATTATAGAATCTGTAAGATACTGGTTCTTGTTTAACCCATTCAATATCAATATGAAATTAAAAAAAAAGTATACATAAGTACTGATCATTATAAAAATAAAAATAAAAGAAAAAACTAAAATTTAAGAATAAAATAAAATAAAATAAGTGGTTAAAATTTAAATTAAAAAAAAGAAAACAAAAATTTAAATTAAAAAATAATATTTTTTTTAAAAAAAAGCATTTAAATTAAAAAAAAAAAATTAAATTAAAAAATAATCATATTTAAAAAAAAAGGATTTAAATTAAAAAAAATAAGTTAAAATTAAAAAAAAAGCAATAAATTAAAGTTTAAATTAAAAAAAAGTGATAAATTAAAAAAAATTGAAGTTAGGATCTTTTTTTTTAATTTAAATTAAAAAAAAACTACAAAAATTCAACCAATCAGTCTTGAATTTGAATACATTTGCATTTTTTCCAGTCAATTTGCTACATATAATATATTCTATTACAGATTTTTTTTATAATGACAACATAAAGTTAATGAGTAAATTATAAGCTAATTTGTTATATTTCAAGTGATCAGGTGAGTTATTTTTTTAATCAAATTATGAATTTATTAAAAAAAAATTTTTTTTTTGAAGAAAAATAAAAAAAAATAAAATTACAAGACAAAAAACAAATTACAAGACAAAAAGAGGATCAGGTGAAAAATAAAGCCAAAAAAAAGGACAATTCAAATAACTGTTTTCAGGTAATCACCTCACATTAAAAAATTAATATGCAAAACCCTATAAGTGTCTCAACTTAGTCATTACTCATGTTGATCTCTTAGAATAAATTAGCCAAAGTAACAGTGACATAAATATTTTCTATCAAATAAGTAACTTATTATTATTTTTTACAATTATTTAATATAGTATTACCTAATTAGTACAATTCATTGGTATTCATTAATTACATTATAGCTAATTTATCAAGAATATGATTTATATATATATAGTTCAATATATAATTAGATGACCTTTATAAAAGACTAAAATGAGTATTAGTAGTTGTTATACTGATATATGAAAAAACTGTGTTATGGTGATCTGTATAAAAATATAATCTAAAATTTTGCTGCTGATTTATTCTTTAATAAATCATACACTTCATTTCACTATATTCCTGATATTCATATCATATCTGAAGTAGCCATCTATTTAAAGTGACTACTTTATATATATGAAATAGCTCTAGTTAAAGTTATCATTTTAAATATCTAAAATAACTACTTCAGATAAATTATATAATAATTATAATGTAATTGTTAAATAATTATTTATATTAATGATCACTAGATAACTACATAAAGTTATACACAAAATTATAAAATAACCATTTAGATATTGTAAGCCTTGGAATTGGTATCATTATTATTATAGTCATATATGATATGTAATTAATTATTGCATTTAGGTTCCATTGTCTACTTAAATAATTAGTCACATGAAAAGCAATAAAAATTTTATTTTTTTTACTTTTATTACTTTTGTTATATTTATTACTTTTATTACTTCAAGTAGATTAACAGCATATAGTACATTCAGTTTTTCTTTATGATAGAAGAGAAATAGGTTTTAATAATAATATTATGTAAATAGATAATATAAAAGAAATTAATCTCAATAGTAAATAAAACTTTTATTATAAATACAGGGGTTTTGATATAGGGAGAAAGTAACAGGTGATACTCCCAAGTTCATATATTTATAATACATAAAACTAAATATCTAAACCTTAATAAAAATAAAACTGTAATTCAATTCAAATTAATAAACTATCATTAAATCCATTATTGTGCTTATTGTTGTCTATTTGTAATCTATTAAAACTATATTTTAATTATTTATTATAAGTTATATGATCAAGTTATTAATATAAAAGAAGAGTTTCAACTTCAATTCAATGTATTGTAATCTCAGGTTAAGAAAGTAAAAAAAAGATAAAAGGAAGCAAAGGGTTAATAGAAGAATAGATTAAAGAAAAAGACTTAGAAAAGAAGATTAGTATTTACTTATAAATAAACTAACTAGTCAAATATAACACACCTATTTTGACTTAGTTACTATAGATTATACAAAAACTGAAAAAAATTAATGACATACTTACTGATTTCCAGAACAACAATATCTAAATAAAATTAAATATAAAAAAAATACATATTTGTATACATATTTATAAAATTAAAGATGAAAATAAAAAATAATAATAAAAACAAAACTATTAGATACAAAATTTAGTGATCTAATAAAAATTTATATACTTATTTATTAGATATTTAATAATTTTTGCTAGACTAATATAATATAATTACTAATTATCAAAGAATTGAACAAAAATATTTGTTTATTATTCTATGATATACTAATAATAAGAAAGTAACAGAAAAAGTTAAAAATAGATCAAATTTATAATATACTAAAACATAATCTATGTTTTAAGATTTTTTTTAATTAACTAATATGTTATATAATACAATAATTAAAAATCAATAATACTATATTTTTAATTCTTCAAATTTTAAAAAAACTAGAATTGTAAACCTACTCATTGTCAAAATCAAAAGCCTACTATTAATAAATTTATAAAATCAAATCACTAAATTAGCTAGTTTAAATATTTAAAAGCCATTTTAGATGCTATCTAAAATAGATATTTTAGATAGTATCTAAAATACTTATTTTAAATGCATTTAAAATAATCACTTTTATAAATAGGTAATAAATTATTTTTATAATAACAAAATTGATAAAATATTAAATGTCAAGATTATTTTAAATATCTAAAGCAATTATTTTAGATATTTAAAGTAGTTATTTAATTATTTAGAATAACTATTTCAGATATCTGTAATAGTTAATTTATATATCTAATATAGCTACTTTAAATATTTAAAGTAGTTATTTCAAATATATAAAATAGTACTTCATATATTTAAAATAGTTATTTCAGATATATGAATTGTTAATTCAAATATTTTTTTATTTTATAATGCCAAATTATAATTTATAATTTATTTAGTTTTTTGTATTATTATTATATATAGTTATTTTTTTTTTTTTTTAAATATTAACAGTGAGGCTATGCCTTTAACTTTATTGAAATTCAATTGAAGTTTTTACAAA